ATTAAGTTACTTATGAATCAGATTGACAATTTCAGGCTGGCTTTTAATGTTTTTAGGATGAACGTTAGCGTAGCCCTTACTCTAAGGCCAGTTTCTTCTTAACACTAAAATTTGATCCAAGGTCAGTTTCTTCTTAACACTAAAATTTGATTCTTCTGTGGTTTCTACAGAATGGCATGGGTGTTCACTGACATCTCTCTTCTCTGGTTGATCAGACCTTGAATACCTTTCAGCACTATGTGAGCTGTGGGAGTTATTCCTCAGCTCCCCAGTTGTTCTTTGCCCATTGTGTTGCAGAGACCATAGGTTGCTGAAGTGATTCTTACCTTCTGGTGTTCATGCTGTTGAATAAGCTCCACCCATGAGTGTTGGAAGGACGTGTGACTTCCTTCTAACCAATAGGATGTGGCCAAGTTGATGGATTTAACTCTGTTGATTGCATTATGCTATATGCCAAATGTTGAATTTCACTCCTGTCATTGTTAATGTCGTATAAAACTCTACTTTGCCAGCAGACACTCTCTCACCTTCCAGATGATCTTGTGAAGGCCATATTGTGTACTGTCCATAGCGACAGCCAAGAAGCAGATAACTGGAAGTGGCCTATAGTTGATGACTGGGGCTCCTTGCCAAAAGCAAAAATCTAAAGCTCTCAGTCCTATAGCTGCAAGAAAATGAATTCTACCAACAACCTGACTGAACTTGCAAATAGAAATAGATTCTTCTCCAATTGAGCCTTCAGATGAGAATATAGTCCAGGTGACTCGTTGATTACAGCTTGACGGGACCTTGCAGCAGAGAACAGAGCTGTGTCACACATGGACTCCTGACCCGTAGAAACTAGAAGATCATACGTGTGTGTTATTTTAAGCTTCTGTGTTTGTGATAGTTTGGTATGCAGCAATAGAAAACTAATACCCCCAGCCTCATGAAATTCTACTCTATGTATGTGTTCTGTGTATGATTTTATTCATTAATAGAATCAAGGGAATCCCTCCTCTTTAGTATAGTCTAGAAAGTTCATTGAGACTGAAAGCCAGGGCAATTGTAGTGCCCACCTCAGTTTCATCCCTTCTCTCTGTGATCACAACCTTGTACTGCCTATTTTCTAGTGTATAAAGCATGTGTTTCATTCATTGTATATAGTGTTCTAGTTATTTGCAGCTGAAGAGCACCTTCAGTGCTGGTTTTTCTAATATGGTAGCAATGGAATTCTTGTCACTGCTTCTTGCATGCTGTCCTTCCTTCTCAGTTCGCTTTTCTTCTTGCTGAAGTTCATCTTACAGTGATTCATTCATAGCATATCCATAGGTGGTAAACTCACTGCGTTACTACGTGAAGAAAAGTATCTTTTGTTTGGATGAATTTGTTAAAGATCATTTACAATTTTAGAATTGTTTTCTGTCATTTTGGTGCGTCCTTGGCAGAAGTTGCTTACATGACCAATAGTGATAAATCTGACTCCCATCGTCCATCACCAAGTTATTTATTTGTTCTAAATTGCAGTCTAGATGGACAGCGGTTTCAGAATTTTTTAACCCATACACTAGTGGGAAAAGACTTTACCAACTAGACTAGTGCCATGTGGACTTCATTTGCCTTTATAAAGTCTTACAGATATCCACTTATTTCTAAAATTTCTTAGGTCAGAACATTTTGTCCCCTACCCTTTTCAGTGATGTAATGTCATACATTTGTAATAAAGTTAGATTCTTGTGTCATGATCTGCCCTTCACTTGGGAATCCCTGACCTTCGGAATGATTTTTTTAAATTTGCATACATTAAAGTTCACTCTTGGTTCTGTATCGGTCTATGGGTATTGACAAATGCATAATGTCCTGTATCCAGCTTTACAGAATTATACAGAAGAGTTTCTCTTCCCTAAAATTCACTTATACTACCCTCCCTCTGTGTAGCCCATGGCAACTGATCTGTTGTTTAGTCTCTATAGTGTTGCCTTTTCTTGAATGTCATATGGTTGAAATCATACAGAATGTAGCCTTTGTAGACTGGCTTCTTTTATTTAGTAATATGCAATTAAAATTTATCCAGGTTGGTTTCATGCTTTGATAATTCATGCCTTTCATTGCTAAATAGTGTTCTCTTGTATAGATGTATCAAAGTTTGTTTATCTGTTTCCATGTTGAAGGACATCTTGGTTGTTTCCAGTTTATGGCAATTATGAATAAAGCTGTTAACATTAATGTACAGGTTTTTGTAGACATAACTTTTCAAATCAGTCGGATAAATGCCTAGGAAAATGATTGCTGAATTGTATGTTAAGATTACATAGATTTGCTAGTTTTCTATGAAACTAGAAAATTGTCTTCCAAGGTGGTTGTACTTTTGCATTTCCACCAGCAATGAATGAGAGTATCTGTTGCTCCACATCCTCATCAGCATTTGGTATTATGAGGTTACTGAATTTTAGCCCTTCTAATAGTTATACAGTATCATCTTATTGAGGTTTGAATTTGTGTTTCCCTAATGACAAATAATGTTGAACATATTTTCATGTGTTTATTTTCCATCTGTATATCTTTTTTGGTAAGATGCCTGTTTATCTCTTTGGCCCTTTTTCCAACTGCGTTGTCTATTTCATTCTTCTTGTGTTTTACAAGTTCTTCGTATACTCTGGGTACAAGTCTTTTATCAGATACGTGAGTCACAAAGATTTTTTCCAGTCTATAGTTTGTTTCTTCCATTTTCTTAACATTGTCTTTCTTAGAACAAAAGATTTTTAATTAAGTAAAGTCCAATTTATTATAACTTTTCATTCATGGGTTGTATTTTTCTGTCATATACAAAAAGTTATCACCAACACTAAGTTCACATAGGTTTCCTCTGATGTTTCATTCTAGATGTTTTATACTTTTGCATTTTACATTAAGGTCTATGATCCTTTGTGAATTAATGTTTGTGTAAGGTGTGAGGTGTGTTTTGAGTATCATTTTGCATGTGGACATCCAATTTTCCCAGCACCATCAGTTGAAGTGACTGTCATTTCTCCTTTGAATAACCTTTGCACATTCTTAAAAAAATCAGTTGATTATATTTTTCGTGGGTCTATTCCTGAGCTCTCTTTTCTGTTTCATTGGTCAGTGTATCTGGTTTTTTTGTTTGTTTGCCAATACCATGCGGTCTTGTTTATGGTAGCTTTATAGAAAATCTTGACATTGGGTAATGTGATTGCTTCAATTTTGTTTTTCCTTAGAATTATGATGACTGACTATACTGGGTCCTTCACTTTTTGTTAATTTTTTGTTTTTAATTTCCTCTATGACCCTTAATGAGCACATGAAATGAGAATACTGAAATCTCCATGTCTAGGTAATTTTGAAGTAATATTTCTTAACTTTACTCTCTCTTTGTTATCGTTCTTTTTGCTTACTTAAATTCTTATTAGCTGCTGTTGGAAGTTTTGGAAATAGCTTCTCTGTCTCTTATTTGTTCTTGCAGATCTTCCACTGTTAAAATCATTTTGTGTTTAATTCTCAGAAGCTATCTTAGCATTGATGTTCAACCTCACCAATCCATGCTTCAGATATATCCAATCTCTTGTTCATGATAAGGATTTACTTAAAAATCGACATTTTCATTTATATGATCTATAATTGGTTAAGTTCATAATAGTCTGTTCTTCCTTTGATAACCACTGGCTGCTCTTCTTCACGTGTTAGCAGTCTAATATAGTGGTAAAGCACATAGCCCCTCTGCCAAGCTCTAATACTCATTACGTGTGTTATCTTGGGAGAGTCACTTAATCTCTGTTTCTCAAAATAAAAATTATGGTTGTCATGAGGGTAAGAATGTTTTTAAAAGAACATGTAAAGCACTTAGGATAGTGCTAGGCATGTGACAAACACTCACTGAGTGTTAGAAATAGTGTTCCATTACCCCTAATCTCTGCTCCTTGGGCATAATACCGACTCTTACTTCTCTAAGGATATTGAATGTCTTCATGTTCAGGTTCCGTCTTACGCATTTTGCAGTTTTCTCAGGAGTAATTAATTTCATTTGTTGAATTTGTTTTCTTTCCTTCTTGGTCTTGACATTCCTCAAAGGTGAAACTGTTTTTATTGTGCACTTGGCGTTGCAGTTGAGATCCTGTCAGACTTTCTTTTTCATCTGCATCCAGTCTGAGAGAATGCACCAGATCTGCTGAGGACATAACAGTGGTTTTAGGGGAATGGCAGGGATAAGGTTTGCCTCCGTTCTGGGTTATTAGGCATCTGATCTTCTGAGTGTGCATTCCCTGTAGTTCTTGGCTATTTCCAGTCATAAGCAGCACTGCCCTCTCCCCAAACGCACAGGCTCTGTTCCAGCTTAAAATCTGAGATCTTTCTTGAAACTGGGTTGTCTTGAAAAGAAGATGTGCATTTCCTAGGAGAGATGCCCATCTGCCTTTGTGGAGATAGTGCAGTGACTCACTCTGTGAACATCCCCAGAGCCCCCCCCATTCCTGGAGCGCTGCTGGAGCTCAGTGCTGGTGGATTAGAGGTCTTCTTCCTGGAGCTGCACATTCCTCGCTGGCTTTCGTCTCTCAGGTCTTTTTTCCTCACACTATTATATGTTGAGGATTATTAAGCGGCTCTGGGTGAGCCTGGTAGAATGTATATATGTATTTATAAATGTGCTGTTGTTTCATTATATTTGGTGTAAAATGTAAGCCCACAACCGTGTCTCATTCATCTTGACTAGAAAATGTGTATGTTTTTCTAAATAAAGAAAACTAATATATAGTATTAATAATGCTAAAATTATGTTTTTTTCAAAAGGCAGTCTTCATTTCTTTCCCAAAAAAACATTGATACACATTAAATTCATTACCATAACTTGAATTTATTAGAATAGTAAATTATTACTATTTAGAAAAATAAATTCTGAAGAATATATTAATTTTTAAGTGGATTGAATGAGTCTTTTCTTGACATGGGTGAAAAATCCTGTCTGTCTATATTTCTGATTTACTAAATCATCTTTATTTGCTTTATTTTAGGTGATTTATATCATTACAATTGATGAAAACTACACTCTGCATCTCAGAAAACAGTAAGATATGATTTTCCCTTAGAGCTTAGATTTTACTTTTTAAATGTTTTGTGCATTATATAAATTCAGGATTGGAGTGTAATGTCGACTGTTTAATCAGTCTATTTTTCAATTTAGAATTCAGTAGGTCTTGAATCTTAGATCTATAACAATGTTGCAATATAATTTTCCAACTTGTTATTTTCAAATTAAGAAATAAACTACATATATGTAAATCTTCAATTGAGTATAAAGCCATTGAACCCAAGAACTGCAAGTATGTATGCAGTTAAGTATGTCTCAGGTGAAATCAAACATAGTTACACATTGAATGGTTATTGGTGGGAGACTCAACTAGCAGTGCACATTTTATGAATGTATTGATTATATGTGCATTTATTTTTAACAACTTTATTGGGCACATTTTATATATCATAAAAGTCACTCGAGTGCATAATTTAATAATTTTAATAACTCTAAACAGTGTTGCAACCATCAACCATAAATCAGTTTTAGAACTTTCATTCCCCACCTAAGATTCCTCATGCCATTTCACATTTAATCCCTATTTCCACTCACTACTCCAGGCAACAATCAGTCTCCTTTCTGTCTCCTAGTTGGCATTTTCTCAACATTTCATATAAATGAAATCAAACAGCCCCTTCTCTGATTGCATCTTTGAAAGCATATATTTATAACACTTGGATTTTGTCTGCCTGCATCTTTGCAGTTGAACAAGGCTGGAGAAAATTATCCTCGCTTAATTCATGACTGTTCTCACCTAGTTCATGACAATGAAACCCATGTTGGTCTTTAATGTCTCTCCAACTTCATTAAAAAGTTTTTGATAAGACCATCACTGATCTCATGTTCCTAAATGCCAGTTATCTTTCAGTCTTCATTTTTCTTGACCAATTGGCAGCATCTTGTATAGCTGATCGGTGTCTCCTCCACAAATACTTTCTTCATTTGGCTTCCAGAATACCATAGACTCCTGGTTTGACTCTCACCGTTGTGCTTACTCTTGCTCAGTTTTTTGTTTGTTTCATTTTGTTTCATTTTCAGATTCTTCCTCATCTCTCAAAACCTAGAATACCTCATCATGTTATTCCTGAATCTTGTTTTCTCCTAGCTATATTCAGTCACCTAGTTATTTCATCCAGTCTTGTGGCTTTAAATATTTTTATGTATTGATTATTCCCAAACTTACATCTCTACTTTATTCCTTTCCAAAGAACACCATATTCCTTTTTCTGACTGCTTATTTGATAACCAATTGTTTACCTGAATTCTCACACTTAACATGTCCCAAATGTACTTCTGATCCTCTTCCAAAATTTATCCTCCCGCAATCATCTCAGTAAATGGTAGCTCTATTCTTCCAGTTTCTCAGAACAAAAACCTGGAGTCATCCTTGACATCTTTCTTTTGTTTTCCCCCATACCCAATGGATTATTAAGTCCCATGTTTTCCACCTCAAACATACATCCAGAATTGGTCCTCCACCACTGCTCCTATCCTAGTTCAAACCACCATCCTGTCTTGCCTGAATGACTGCAACAGCCTAACTGCACTCTCTGCTTCTGCTTATTTGCCCTACAAATGCTTCTCAACACAGCATTCAGTCTGATTCTATTAAAATGTTGGTCTGATTCTATCACTTATCTGCTCAAATATCTTCCAATGACTTCTTACCTCTGAGGCAGCATCTCTTACTACTGTCTGTCATCCTCAGTCCCATTCCACTCCAGACACATTGCCCCCTAGCTATTCTTTATATACACAAAGCATAGTTCTCCATCAGGGTCTTTGCATTTTCTCCTAACTCTTCCTGAGATAACATTTCTGTACAGATCCGTGTGGCTTATCTTCATGTCTTTGTCTATTCAGTGAGCCTTTTCATGCCATCTTATCTACATTTTGCAACCAATCTCCCTCACCCAGGCCTATTTATCACCATCTAACCTGGTAGCAGTGTGTGGCCCTCACTGTCATGAAGACTAGTGGTTTTGTCTTTTGTTTACTGCTGTATTGCAGTGTCTAGAAGAGGATCTGTCCGATGGTAGGCACTCAGTAAATATTGGTTGAGTGCAGACATAAACAGGCACACACACAAATATCTAACAGAGGATTTGGAGTCTATTCCAGTGTTAACAAAGCCTGGACTCTCTGATACACCAGTTCTATGAATTTAAACTGTTATGCCACATTAAAATTGCTCTAATTAAAGCACATTATTATGTGAATCATATATTTCACGTTCATTTTTATTATTTTACTATTTATATCCATATTAAATTCATAACTCAAACATTTTTTATTTTTGCTTTTCTCAGCTCATTCTTATCCCAGAACTTTTTGGTTTATGCATGCAATGAAAATGGATCTTTGCATGCTGAGTCTTCATATTTTAAGGTAAGACCCAGATGTCATAGATGTTTATTATTATGTGTTTCTTTATTGAAGTGGACAAAGCATTACTATTGGGATGCATTTGTGCCATGTTGGCAGTTTAATACAAATATTTTGTTTTATATAATTATGACCTGTCATATCGTTGATTGTTGTACATAGAAACAGCATGTGATAGACATGAAACCCAGGCTGAGAGAATATTCTTGGGCACCTAGGTGGTACAAAGTAGAGTTGTCAAAAACATTTTTTCCCTGAAAATCTGCATTAATAAATCTATCTGATATACAATCTTATTATTTTCAACTCTTTTAACATTTTGAGTCTTCTGTAATGTTTACCAATACATGTTTTATTCATAAAGAATGTATTTATTTGCCTTTCTGTACTGTTTTCAGATGCATTGCCATTACCAAGGATATGTTGCAGATTTTCCAAATTCAGTTGTGACACTCAGCATCTGTTCTGGACTCAGGTAATAACATCTTAGAGGGCATTTATACATGGAAAACATAGGGCATACTTTAAGATGAAACTTAGTAGGGGCCGGCCCCATGGCCGAGTGGTTACGTTCATGCGCTCTGCTTCGTCGGCCCACGGTTTTGCTGGTTCGCATCCTGGGTGCAGACATGGCTCCGCTCATTAGGCCATGTTGAGGCATTGTCCTGCATACCACAACTAGAAGGACCCACAACTAAAATAGACAACTATGTACTTGGGGCATTTGGGGAGAAAAAGCAGGAAAAAAAATAATAAGACTGGCAACAGTTGTTAGCTTAGGTGCCAATCTTTAAAAAAAAAAAAAGAAACATTGGCTGACACAACTGTAGAAGGTTTAAGGGGAATTCTAGTCTGAAAGCTTCCTTTATGATGGCCTCCCTTTTATAATAGTACTAGTAGCTAGACCTTAGTGTCCATTCAAATGAAATCAGTCTGGGGAATCCTGACTGGAGATATTTTCAGGACACAGTGCAGAAGGGGATGGTTTCAGTAAAGGGAACTTTAGAACATCTCTCTAAGTATTGTCACATTATCTATCAGTTATCTCAAATAGTCATGGAAAATGACATTAATTAGTTATTTAAATAGGCACATACTGTATGCTGTCAGTTTGGGTGCACCCAGTGTCAGACATAAAACAACTAATTAAGGGGCTGGCCCCGTGGCCGAGTGGTTAAGTTCGCGCGCTCTGCTGCAGGCAGCCCAGTGTTTCGCTGGTTCGAATCCTGGGCGCGGACATGGCACTGCTCATCAGACCACGCTGAGGCAGCATCCCACATGCCACAACTAGAAGGACCCACAACGAAGAATATACAACTATGTACTGGGGGGCTTTGGGGAGAAAAAGGAAAAAAAATAAAATCTTTAAAAAAAAAAAAAAACAACTAATTAAGAAGGTCCCTTAGAAGTACAGGGCAGGGATGAGGGATTTTCATCATTGATGGTGGCAGGAGGAAGGTGGTAAGTTTATCAGAAGAAGATGGGTGAAAAGCAGAGAAAAAAGACTCTCCCTAACTCCCTTTTGGTTTTGGTTGACTGATTTCCAGAATTTACTCATTTCAACTCAGAAAATTGGCATTCCCTGATTGTGGTTTTCATAGATATCAACCTCTCTAGGTATCTACTCTATAAACCTGCTTTCCCTTGTTCTCATCTCTGTAAGAACAGGAACTTTATTCTTGGAATTCTCAGCAAATATCTTGATTCCAAGACAGTACTTGGCCTTAATATATCTTGAATGAATGTGACTACTATACAGAAAATAGAAAATACTTTTCAATATGTTTAGTTTTTTAATATGTGAGCAAAACTAAGGCAGATGTGGTGACTCAGTTACTAATGGTAGACTGAAAAAAAATAGGAAAAGAAAGTGCCTTTAAACATGTTCCTTACTATGTTTCCTCATTTCTCACAACATTTTTGGTTATAGCTTTGATGGGATCATTTGCAGGATTTTTATATCATTGCTTTCTACATTTTCAGGGGATTCCTTTAGTGTGAAAATATCAGCTGTGGAATCGAGCCGTTGGAATCTTCAGCAGGATTTGAGCACATAATTTATCAAGTGAAAAATGACAATCCAGACATACCACTGTTATCAGAAAATTACAGCAATATTTGGCAGAAAGACAAGCCCTACAAGGTTCATTTAAGCTCACAGGTAACTGTGATGATTCTGATGTTATGACATACTATGAAATTACTTCTGTAGAATTTTGTTAATAGTGAAAAGGAACTAAGCTGTTGAGCAGGAATATTGAGTTTGATATCTTCTTTCTATACCTTTAAATAAAACATCCATATTCCATCTAAAATATATGAAAAAAATATAGTATGTATTTCAAACTTATTGTTTTATGATGTATTATGTAACATTTCTTATTTTTTATTGTTATTCAAATAAAAATGCATATTATTAAATACAATTTAGAGATGCAGGAGGAGTAGAATCATCATTAATTACCACTATTCTGGTAAAATTACTTTCAATATTTTGATATTTTGCTTTATATACTACTGGAACATATGTTTCCAAAATAGATAATCATTTGTATATTATTAAGCTCTTTTGATTGACCTGTGCACTGGGTAAAGAATTCTTGTTTGACAGGTGTTTTTCTTTCATCACTTTGAATATTTCAATTCACTGTCTTCTGGCCTCCATGGTTTCTGAGGAAGAATCAGCTATTTTAATCTTATTGAGGATTCCTTATACATGATGAGTCCATTCTCTCTTGCTTCTTTCAAGATTGTCTCTTTGTCTTTTCCTTATGACAGTTTTTTTTATGATGTGTCTTTAAGTGGATCTCTTTGAGTTTATCATACTTGGAGTTCATTGAACTTCTTGGATGTGTAAATTAATGTTATTCATCAAATTTGGGACATTTTTGGCCATTGGTTCTTTGAATATTCTTTCTGCCCTTTTATCTGTCTCCTCACTTTCTGGTATTCCCATTATGTGTATGTTGGTATGCTTGATAGTGCCCCACAGGTCTATTAGGTTCTGTTCATTTTTCTCTATTCTTTTTTCCTTGTCTTCCTCAGACTGTATAATCTTAATTGACCTATCATCAAGTTCCTTGATTGTTTCTTCTGCCTTCCAAAATCTGTGGTTTAGCCTCTCTAATGGATATTTCATTTCAATTATTGTATTTTTCAATACTAGAATTTCTAAGCCTTTATTGATGTTCTCCATTTAGTAAGACATCATTATTATAATTCCTTTACATTTTTTATTCACTGCTTCTTTTAGCTTTCTGAAATTATTTAAAATTTCTAATTTAAAGTATTTTTCTAGTAATTCCAACATGTAATCTTCCTCAGAGACAGTTTCTATTGATGGCGTTTTTCCTGTACATGGGCCATACTCTCTTGGTCATTTTGTGTCTCATAATTTTTTGAAAACTGAAACTGGTCATTCCAAATAATATAATGTGGTAACTCTGGAAATCAGATTCTGCCTGCCTCCCAAATATTATTGCTGTTTGTCATAGTTGTTTGTTTTGTAAATTTTTTTGATGATTCTCTAAAGTTTGTATTCTTTGTTGTGTGCGGCCACTGAAGTCTCTATTCTGTTATCTTATTGGTGGGTTGATGATCAGTCAGAGAGTTCTTTAAATATTTAGGACCAATAAGTCTCCTAGTCTTTGCTGAGGACCTCTGTGTGCATGTTAGCACATGCCTTTTTTCACTCAGCCAGGCAGTTAACAATTTTGACTTTCATTTTACTTCTTTCTTGCTTAGAGCCATGAATCAGCCAGAGGTAAGAGTTTAGGGTCTTTGCTGGTCTTTACTAAACATGTACCATAGCCTTGGGCATGTACTTAGTCCTATACATGTGTGTGGCCTTCTAGATTCCCAGGCATTTGTCATAGCTTTTCAAAACTCCATGTGTACCTCTCATTCTCCAGTTTTTCCTTTTAGGTTTTTTGGTTGGTCTGTTGTTTGCCCCATTGCTATTTACTTTCTCAGACAACTGTGCAGTTTAAAAAAAAATGCCTGTAATTGTTTTCAACAGATGCCAAAGAAAAAAGCTTTTCATACTGGATGAGATATGATTTAGGTAAAATTCAGACAAGCTTGAAATAGGTCTTCTAGGAAACACAAAATAGGTCGAATCATGACATTTTTATGGAAATAAGGTTTTGAAGATGCTGCAGCCGTACTCTGCTTTTGTCGGAGGTTGCCAGTCTGGTGATATTCACAGCAAATGCAGGCTATTAGTTTTCAACTAATGGGAGAAGAGACTAGGGCAAGTTCAAATTCCACAGATATCACTGTTTTACTGAGATCAGTTATTTTTTTTGAATAAATATTCCCAGAATGCCTTAAGCCTTTGGTTAATCTCTAGAGATCTGAGAAAGTTGATTCTAACAGTTTTTGCCAGTTCTCTTTTTGTTTTTTTGTAGGAGAGAATTTTTGGAGGTTCTCCCCTAAATTTTCACAGATTTCACTCCATTTCATGAATTTTCTATAAAATGTACTTATAACCTTTAATATGACATGTTTTCTAGTTTCCTTCCCAATTATTCCTCCATTGACCCATGGGAAATTTAGAAGTGTACATAGTTGGGGATTTTCTAGATATCTTTATGATACTGATTTTTAATTGAATTTTATCACATTTAGATAATGCATTTGACTTCAATATGTATATTTCTCTCTCTATTATGCAATTTTTTCTGAAGTATTCTACACAAGTTAGGTCAATTTATTTGTATTCTTCAAAACTTCTGTTTTCCACATCTTTTTTTCTTGTAGGGAATTTGTAGTTTATGTCTCTTGCTCAGCATCCTCCCATGGGGCATTTTTGAACTTTATTCTGCATTTTTCATTTTTAAGTGGTATATCATTATTAATTCTTATATAAAAATAAGACAGGATAAGTTGGAAAACATTCACTTTTACTTTCAGACACTTAATGGTTTTGTCTATAAGTTTGTAGGAAAATTATAATAACAGATTTCTCTCTGAGCGGCAAGTAGAGAGAACTCTTTTCTCTTTTCCAGACCATTTCCAGTTGTAAGGTAACAAACATTTCCTTATCAAGAACAGAATGCAAAGGTACTCAATGATAAAGTGTACTTATACACATGTGGGTAGGTCAACCAACTCCTTTGTGTGTTGAGTGGTTGTGGTAGAAGTATTTGATGATGAAATTACATATCCGATCTTGCATGTTGTTTAATATTTTCCATAATGCCTTTAACATGTTAATTGAAGTTGCTTTAAATCTTCTTTCTGATATTTCTGACATCTGTATCATTTATCAGTCTGATTCTCATGATGGCTATAGCTTTCATATTGATTTTCTTCTTGCCTGTCTGTATTCCCTCTCATTTTTTTGGTAAAAGCTAGACATGTTACATAAGGCAGTAGATACTGAATTAAATAATTTTTTAGGCTTAGAGATGAGAATATCTTTCTACCAGGTCTTTACTTTGAAAGTTTGTGTTAATCTAATCAGATTGTATGCCTGTTTGTGTGTGTTGTTGCTGTGGCTACCCCCGGGGTACCTACCAGAAGCTTCACATCACTTTCAGGGAGATCTTGTGTTTATGGTGAATGATAATTTCCTAGAGGGACTCCTGTTCTCTGCTTGGCTTTGGATTTCTCCACTTGGCCTTGTTTTGAGATTTTACAGATAAAATCTACTTCTTACAGATCCCTGTGCTTTCTCCACTGTAATTTTTTCTTGACACATTTTAGCATAGGACATGGGTTTGACATAGAGTGAAGAATAGAGAAATTCTCTGATGTTTGGATTAAGACTCGGTGTTAGGAAGGCACTATGAACCTGGATTTGGGGATGTAGTGTTCACAAATGTCTCTACCTCTCTCCTTCAGATGTGATACTGGGTCTAGCAAATATTCCTTCCTCTCCCTCCAGAATTAGACCTTTTTTCCATCTTCACCCTCCCAGATGTAGTGAGTTTCACCAGTGCCCTCAGGCTACAAACCTCTTTCCCCTTCCTCCAGTAGATTAAGGTTTTTGTATCAGAGAGTAGATAGAGGAGAGGACTTTTGGTAGAGTTTTTTGGTGGCTGATGTTCCTCCCCACCAGCCAGCACCATGAAGGAATCTTTTTCAGCATATTCTCCAGTTTTCATTGTGAATAGCTTGTGGGGTTTCAGGAGAAAAACCTGTAAGAAGCTATGAAACCAACTATTTTTATGGCTTTCAGAGACTTCACACTTTGATGCTATCCCAAGCTTGGCCTTTAGAAATTCAGCCAAAATTTCTAGCTGAATATTCTTACCAGCTTATATGGCATTTGGTGTCATTTGAACCAGGTAAGCAAATACTTGCTTCCTGCTTGTCTCTGCAGTCACAATTCTCTCTCAAAATTTTGGTTAGTGCTTTAATCTGCAATGTCAGATTTTTGATGGGTTCAAGAAAAATCATTAATATGTAGTTTGTCCAGGTTTTACTCTGTTGTACACAAGGAAGCAGCACTCTTTCCAGTTTTCTACTCTCTGATCTGAAACAAAATATTGTTTCCAATATTGCAAACAACTCTAATTATATAAATTTGACAATGTAAATAAAAGGGCCAGTATTTTGAAAACAACCCACTATGAAAACTCAACCGGGATGAAATAGACAACCTGTATAGTCCCGTAACCATTGAAAATTGAATTTTCAGTGAAAAAAAAAACGCTCAAACAGAAGATCTCTCTGATATAGATAATTTCATGGGAAATTCATAATAATGTTAAAAGAAGATATAGTGCCAATTCTATACAATCTCTCCAGAGAATTAAAGAGGAGTGAGCAGAAACTAAAATAGTTTACAACTCATTTTATGAGGATGGTATTGTCCTTATACTAAAACTGGATACAGACAGTACAAAACAAGTAAACCCATAGACGAATATGCCACATGAATATAGATGTAAAAATTCTGGACAAATACTATCAAAAGGAATTGATTAATTTATAAAAAGGCTTGCACACCATGACTAAGCAGTGTTTTCCAGCAATGGAAGTCGGGTTCATTTGAAAATAAACCAAAATATTCTAGTATATTACTAGGTTAAAAAATGAAAGTTACACATTCTCCTCAATAGATACAGAAAAACATAGAACAAAATTAACATCGATTTATTTCATAAATTCTCAGTGACCTTGGAATAAAAAGAAACTTGTTCTAGTTGATAAAAGGCACTTATAAAAACCTACAGCAGACATAATATTGATAAAGACTGAGTACTTTTCTCCTAAGATTTGGTACAAGGCAAAGATATCCACTCTCTCCACCCTTATTTAAGATAATGTTGGACTCCTAGG